GGTGGGCTTGATTGTCATCCAATTGTGAGCTTCATCGATATTCAAATCTTCTAAAATGTCATTCAGTGTTGGTACCTTCAGTATAATACACTTTACACAAATTGCATCTACTTACTGCAACTTGGGCTGTTAGAGCTTACAACGCTTCCATTCCACGAGCACAGTAGGGTATTTCCTTTCCTAAATTGAATCTGGCAAGAGCAATTAAGCGAAATTTAACAAAATTCATATTTATTATTTGGTTATAACAACTTACTAAGCAAAAACAAAATTACGTCATTTTCGCTTGAAATTGGGCATTCAGACAAGAAAATTTCAGTAGTCTTGTAGGGTGAAACTAATTAGGAGCTTACGTGACTAGTTTGCTTGGTTCCAAATACTGCAAATTCAATTTGAACTTGACTTTCTCCTTTGAGAAATCGATAAAGAGGCATCGATGGCGCCACAACCACGTCACCTAAAGATTATTTGAAAGTTATCAGGCCACAATTTGTACAATTCAGTAGTAAGAGCAGGCCGACCAAATAAGCAGTGTGTTATACACTCCAGATAACACTGGATTTCATTCAAATTTAACACTTTTACGAATACATGCTCGAATAATTAACTATATTGCTTTCCACTTTAACAAACAATTCTGACGCCTTAAATCTTGTTCTTACCATATTACTATGTTTAACCTAATGCATTCAAATGTTGTACTATGGATATTATTACCTTCTTTCGGAGTAGGGAATTGACATTTTGAAGCAAAGTACACTGTGTATGACACTGTATTGTCATATACTCTAAGGATCTTGTATTCCGAGGCCCTGTTTAGTGTAATCGTCAGAAGACCTTGAAAAAAACATTATGAGTGATGAATGTGATGTAAAATAAGGTATGCCATTACTATAGTGGACTTCATGTACCTTGGGAATACGAGCATGGCTGACCTAGGATGACTCCGTTTGATTTACACATCCCAGTTTCGATAGTCACTGGAAGTGTCGTGCCATTAAAGGCGTCGATGTTGCCTATCTTGAATAGGAACAGATGAACAGGTTGGGTTAAAATGCCTTTGTAAGGGACAAAGCGACACAGATAAAGTGGATAAAATACCAAACAAAACTTTTTCAGAGGATGAAGATAGGCTCTAGCTATGCAACAAGAAGGAGGCGATTACGTAACGACATCAACAATTTTGTTAATTGTAGTGCTGATACCCCTATTTTGATAGGTCCAAGATCATTTTAAGTCATTCACACCTTCCTCTTCCAAGTATATGGTAAGTTAGGTGGCACTATTTGGATGTGTTCTGTCTGTATCTGATGGAAATGACTAACACATGTATGTAAACTCGTAAGCAGGGATAAACTCTAAATAAAATGAATGACTCTTGCGGCCCTTAAAACGCAAAATAACAGATATTTACCTTTTTTTGAAGGGTGGACTGCATGCGAGCATGCGCCATCAAAACGTCAAGCCTTTAATCATCTGTCAGCAAATACCTACTTATGTGGTCCAACTACGGAACAGTAATTGAGGACAACGGAACGACATTATGCTCTATCACTTACGGGATATTCATGTACCCTGAACTTCATCGGTCCGACTTTCCCTGTGGTATCAGTGATAACACGAGAGCCCCACAGATCATTACCAGCCTCTCCACCTAAAAATCGAAATTTAGCGCCCTGATAAATCGAATACTAAAGTCCTTTACTGATCTGCAAAGGACACTTTTATAATCCTGATGAAATCAAACAAGCAGGAAATCAGGCGTGGAGGATGGAAACCATTATAATTCTGCTACATCAGCACATGTTAAAGTGTAAACCTACGGACAAATAATTGTAGAAGTAAGATAAAGAAGAAAGTTTTAACCATTATCACAAATGTCAACCCTACCAGTAGATGCTTAAATATTCTCTTCAGATGGACCAATGGGTAATGCGATTGGCGCTTCTACTCCCTTTCCCCAATACGATTTACTGAATCTAAGACGCTGAATTCCCACACTGCAGAAAATTCTTTATAAATTGATATGGTTTTTGTGCATTTTCTCTACTCATCTTACAGTTTTATTGAAATTATTTGGCCTGCATGCTGGAATAGATAACGTTTAAAAAGGCTGATGCATTTATTGTGCATAGAAAGTAAATTGAACGAAACATGTTTTAAAAACACCTCATTACTCTGTTAATAACTTCCGTGAATAGAGCATGGTTTAAAAAATAAGGCATAAACTTTTTTCATTGGATTTACTCGTAGTAAAATTGGGAAAATTTTAAATATATAGGAAGTAAGATAAGCTCTTCCTCTATTACAATTCTCAAAAGCATCAGAACACTTGATTGGTTTCTGTCAGCTTAGAATTTCTCCTGTGGCAACACCCGTGTTAAACTATAATTAATGGTTGAAAAGTGAATGCTAAAATCAACTGACTAAACATGTTTACATTTAGTAATTGGGTTCCTTAAATTCTGCCTTTTTAAGTTCAGGTAGTTGTAAGCACAGCGAAAGAAGAAATATGATGTCTCCTATTTAACCATCACGCTCATGAGGTCTCGTGCATTCGACAAGTCGTCTGCGCTGTCCGAATGATGCACTACAGCCGTGAAAGTTCCATTTTATAATACCATATGTAAACGCAATTGTGAAAAATTAAAACAGCATTCCATTCCTCCCTTAAATTATAAACCTTAAATAAATGAAAATATAGACCTTTCGAGTACTCGAATTATAAAACTTGCAAAAATGATCACTTCTGTTGATCCGTACAACTCATTTTAAAGGGTCGCCATTCATTTGCAATCAAACTAATCAATTTTAAATAAATAGGTTCAATTTGCTACCACTCTGGCATTTGTTTAGTATTAATGGCACTTACTACTAGAGATGTTGAACATAATCAGCAGTCCGTCTGGACAAATTTAGTCTACTTGCATTTTTCTTTAGACATTAATCATAAACGATACATGCTATTATTTGATAACAGTTTAGTTGTCATTAGTAGCCCTAATGTATTTGGTAATATTTGATCTTCCATGCATTCCCAGGACATGATTATTTGACATACAAATATCCATGCGACAAGGAAAATGTTAAGTCATATTGCTCACCATTTAGCTGAAATTAAAACAGTTGTATGGAAAATTGCTGCACTTTTCCCCACACCGCCTTCGCGGTGTACGCTAACTCTGCAAAATGAAAGCTGAATATGCCTATGTGAGATGGTTAGTCATTCGCCTTCCGTGGCAGTTTGCTGTAACCTGACGCTGCTTTGCTGTAAATATCGACGCTGGGGAACCATTTGAAAAAACATCACTGCCTCATGCCACCCGATGAGACCTGAGAATGCCAATTCCAATTGAAGAACATGGTTTAGTATCATTTGTAGTCGGTGGTGACCTCCCCCTTCCGGGAGGCAAGCTTCCTGTCACCGACCTTTGACTAAATATAACTGTTTTTCAGCAAATAACTTTATAAATGAACCGCCTATGCAATGCTTCTGCCATTTTTTGAGGACAAGTAGGATTGCATGTATAGAAAGTTGCTCCATTGGGGTACAACGTTTAAGCGGTGTGGATGAAAATTAGTCTTTGTATTATTTGAAATTGATAAAGAACCAAAAGCTCACCATCTTCTCTGCTGAAAATCTTATATGCGTAATGATGAATGATGGATTGACAAAAAATCTAAGAAATTCTAACAATAACACGGGTTCCAGAACACAGGTAAGAAAACTACAGGCAGTCCGTAGTAGTTACAGGAAAATACACTTTATATCAAATTGATTTTAAAGCTTGCACAATAGTACATATGAGGCCTGCTTTCGCCAGCATTGACAACAATTTGAAGGTTTTTAACCTTGTTTTTAATGAATGCTTTTGATAAAATGGTTTTATTCTAATCTTTATTCATTGAAAGAATAATCAAACTCATTGTGACAGACAATGCGCAAGATAATTTGTGACATGTGATCCAGTTAAGAATTGAAAATGTTTCAAATCAGCCAAGTGGACATATTATTATAAGGCATTCAAGTACCTCTCGATACTACAGATCAGTTATCTAAAATGTATGTATTAAAGTGTAACTAAGTAAATTTGGCTTCTTTATAGATATACACGTCAAAAGTTAAATAGAGCTTACAACGCTTCCATTCCACGAGCACAGTAGGGTATTTCCTTTCCTAAATTGAATCTGGCAAGAGCAATTAAGCGAAATTTAACAAAATTCATATTTATTATTTGGTTATAACAACTTACTAAGCAAAAACAAAATTACGTCATTTTCGCTTGAAATTGGGCATTCAGACAAGAAAATTTCAGTAGTCTTGTAGGGTGAAACTAATTAGGAGCTTACGTGACTAGTTTGCTTGGTTCCAAATACTGCAAATTCAATTTGAACTTGACTTTCTCCTTTGAGAAATCGATAAAGAGGCATCGATGGCGCCACAACCACGTCACCTAAAGATTATTTGAAAGTTATCAGGCCACAATTTGTACAATTCAGTAGTAAGAGCAGGCCGACCAAATAAGCAGTGTGTTATACACTCCAGATAACACTGGATTTCATTCAAATTTAACACTTTTACGAATACATGCTCGAATAATTAACTATATTGCTTTCCACTTTAACAAACAATTCTGACGCCTTAAATCTTGTTCTTACCATATTACTATGTTTAACCTAATGCATTCAAATGTTGTACTATGGATATTATTACCTTCTTTCGGAGTAGGGAATTGACATTTTGAAGCAAAGTACACTGTGTATGACACTGTATTGTCATATACTCTAAGGATCTTGTATTCCGAGGCCCTGTTTAGTGTAATCGTCAGAAGACCTTGAAAAAAACATTATGAGTGATGAATGTGATGTAAAATAAGGTATGCCATTACTATAGTGGACTTCATGTACCTTGGGAATACGAGCATGGCTGACCTAGGATGACTCCGTTTGATTTACACATCCCAGTTTCGATAGTCACTGGAAGTGTCGTGCCATTAAAGGCGTCGATGTTGCCTATCTTGAATAGGAACAGATGAACAGGTTGGGTTAAAATGCCTTTGTAAGGGACAAAGCGACACAGATAAAGTGGATAAAATACCAAACAAAACTTTTTCAGAGGATGAAGATAGGCTCTAGCTATGCAACAAGAAGGAGGCGATTACGTAACGACATCAACAATTTTGTTAATTGTAGTGCTGATACCCCTATTTTGATAGGTCCAAGATCATTTTAAGTCATTCACACCTTCCTCTTCCAAGTATATGGTAAGTTAGGTGGCACTATTTGGATGTGTTCTGTCTGTATCTGATGGAAATGACTAACACATGTATGTAAACTCGTAAGCAGGGATAAACTCTAAATAAAATGAATGACTCTTGCGGCCCTTAAAACGCAAAATAACAGATATTTACCTTTTTTTGAAGGGTGGACTGCATGCGAGCATGCGCCATCAAAACGTCAAGCCTTTAATCATCTGTCAGCAAATACCTACTTATGTGGTCCAACTACGGAACAGTAATTGAGGACAACGGAACGACATTATGCTCTATCACTTACGGGATATTCATGTACCCTGAACTTCATCGGTCCGACTTTCCCTGTGGTATCAGTGATAACACGAGAGCCCCACAGATCATTACCAGCCTCTCCACCTAAAAATCGAAATTTAGCGCCCTGATAAATCGAATACTAAAGTCCTTTACTGATCTGCAAAGGACACTTTTATAATCCTGATGAAATCAAACAAGCAGGAAATCAGGCGTGGAGGATGGAAACCATTATAATTCTGCTACATCAGCACATGTTAAAGTGTAAACCTACGGACAAATAATTGTAGAAGTAAGATAAAGAAGAAAGTTTTAACCATTATCACAAATGTCAACCCTACCAGTAGATGCTTAAATATTCTCTTCAGATGGACCAATGGGTAATGCGATTGGCGCTTCTACTCCCTTTCCCCAATACGATTTACTGAATCTAAGACGCTGAATTCCCACACTGCAGAAAATTCTTTATAAATTGATATGGTTTTTGTGCATTTTCTCTACTCATCTTACAGTTTTATTGAAATTATTTGGCCTGCATGCTGGAATAGATAACGTTTAAAAAGGCTGATGCATTTATTGTGCATAGAAAGTAAATTGAACGAAACATGTTTTAAAAACACCTCATTACTCTGTTAATAACTTCCGTGAATAGAGCATGGTTTAAAAAATAAGGCATAAACTTTTTTCATTGGATTTACTCGTAGTAAAATTGGGAAAATTTTAAATATATAGGAAGTAAGATAAGCTCTTCCTCTATTACAATTCTCAAAAGCATCAGAACACTTGATTGGTTTCTGTCAGCTTAGAATTTCTCCTGTGGCAACACCCGTGTTAAACTATAATTAATGGTTGAAAAGTGAATGCTAAAATCAACTGACTAAACATGTTTACATTTAGTAATTGGGTTCCTTAAATTCTGCCTTTTTAAGTTCAGGTAGTTGTAAGCACAGCGAAAGAAGAAATATGATGTCTCCTATTTAACCATCACGCTCATGAGGTCTCGTGCATTCGACAAGTCGTCTGCGCTGTCCGAATGATGCACTACAGCCGTGAAAGTTCCATTTTATAATACCATATGTAAACGCAATTGTGAAAAATTAAAACAGCATTCCATTCCTCCCTTAAATTATAAACCTTAAATAAATGAAAATATAGACCTTTCGAGTACTCGAATTATAAAACTTGCAAAAATGATCACTTCTGTTGATCCGTACAACTCATTTTAAAGGGTCGCCATTCATTTGCAATCAAACTAATCAATTTTAAATAAATAGGTTCAATTTGCTACCACTCTGGCATTTGTTTAGTATTAATGGCACTTACTACTAGAGATGTTGAACATAATCAGCAGTCCGTCTGGACAAATTTAGTCTACTTGCATTTTTCTTTAGACATTAATCATAAACGATACATGCTATTATTTGATAACAGTTTAGTTGTCATTAGTAGCCCTAATGTATTTGGTAATATTTGATCTTCCATGCATTCCCAGGACATGATTATTTGACATACAAATATCCATGCGACAAGGAAAATGTTAAGTCATATTGCTCACCATTTAGCTGAAATTAAAACAGTTGTATGGAAAATTGCTGCACTTTTCCCCACACCGCCTTCGCGGTGTACGCTAACTCTGCAAAATGAAAGCTGAATATGCCTATGTGAGATGGTTAGTCATTCGCCTTCCGTGGCAGTTTGCTGTAACCTGACGCTGCTTTGCTGTAAATATCGACGCTGGGGAACCATTTGAAAAAACATCACTGCCTCATGCCACCCGATGAGACCTGAGAATGCCAATTCCAATTGAAGAACATGGTTTAGTATCATTTGTAGTCGGTGGTGACCTCCCCCTTCCGGGAGGCAAGCTTCCTGTCACCGACCTTTGACTAAATATAACTGTTTTTCAGCAAATAACTTTATAAATGAACCGCCTATGCAATGCTTCTGCCATTTTTTGAGGACAAGTAGGATTGCATGTATAGAAAGTTGCTCCATTGGGGTACAACGTTTAAGCGGTGTGGATGAAAATTAGTCTTTGTATTATTTGAAATTGATAAAGAACCAAAAGCTCACCATCTTCTCTGCTGAAAATCTTATATGCGTAATGATGAATGATGGATTGACAAAAAATCTAAGAAATTCTAACAATAACACGGGTTCCAGAACACAGGTAAGAAAACTACAGGCAGTCCGTAGTAGTTACAGGAAAATACACTTTATATCAAATTGATTTTAAAGCTTGCACAATAGTACATATGAGGCCTGCTTTCGCCAGCATTGACAACAATTTGAAGGTTTTTAACCTTGTTTTTAATGAATGCTTTTGATAAAATGGTTTTATTCTAATCTTTATTCATTGAAAGAATAATCAAACTCATTGTGACAGACAATGCGCAAGATAATTTGTGACATGTGATCCAGTTAAGAATTGAAAATGTTTCAAATCAGCCAAGTGGACATATTATTATAAGGCATTCAAGTACCTCTCGATACTACAGATCAGTTATCTAAAATGTATGTATTAAAGTGTAACTAAGTAAATTTGGCTTCTTTATAGATATACACGTCAAAAGTTAAA